TCCTCTGTCTTGACGGGGCAGGCTGCCGCGACGTCGGACGACATGGTCGGTGCTGGCGACGGAGCTGGCGTCGGTGCTGACGACGGCGCTCGTGTCGGCGCTGGCGTCGGCGCGGGCGGGCGCCGATGGAGACACGCCCCGCTGGGCGCAGGCGATCCGCTCCGATGGGCGCGCTGCGCGTGGAGCCGACAATGGCCATGCAATGCGTGCAATGATGCGTGCGCTGTGAGCACAAGGCCAGCGATCGGAATCGCTCCCCCACCCAATTTTGTCGTCGTCGGTCGTCGCCTTTGTCAGTCGTCGCCAGAAGTCGTCACATCCCCTCAGCCAGCGATCGTAATAGCCATCCCCATCCTCACATCCCCATCCACACATCGTAATCGTTAGTCGTCGGCCCTCATCCTCACATCCCTTCAGCGACACCTCCCATCCCCTCAGCGATCGTAATCGCTATTGCACACACAAGCGATCGTAATCGCTATTGCACACACAAGCGGTCGTTTTGCCACAGCGCCTGGAGCGGCAATCGCATGTAGATCGCTTATGCGCGCCCACGGCGCGAAGAGGCGCCGCACCCCCAGCGCGCCGCGCCTGCAGCGCAGGCGCCAGCGGCGCCGCGCCAGGGCGCCGCGCGCCTCACGTCAGCCGCGACGGCGGCGGGACGGCGGCGGGGACGCCTCTGCGCCACGGCGGCAGCGGCGCTGTCGATGGCCGCGGCGCTGCCCCTGGCGTCGGCGCCGTTGCCAGCGGGCGCGCGGGCGACGCAATGCGCGGGCGCACCGCGCGCGGCGCCGCGGCGGGCGGGGGCGGCCCCGCGGGGGGGGGAGCCAGGGACTCGCCCTTGCCGCCGCCCTTGCCGCCGCCCTTGACGCCGCTGCGGGGGTCGGGGCGCGACCCAGCGGGGACCTTGCCTGGCGCGCCGCCGCCGTACTTCTTCGCGAAGTACTCCCTGTTCCTCCCCCCGCGGTTGGCCCACTGCTTGGTGTTGGCGCGGTGCCGCTGGCCGCGCCACGTCTCGGGCCCCCCCTCGGCTGGGCCCGCAGGGCCGCGCTGCCACCACTGCAAGCCGAGGGCCTTCGCCGCCGCAGCCTCGCCGCGCAGGTCGGCGACCTGCTCCTCGGTGTAGCCCGCCCCCTGGCCAGCCGCGCGCTCCTCGTAGACCCTCGCCCACGCCGCCGCGGCCACGGCCTCAGGGGGGGGCGGCGCCAGAGGCGGGTGGGGCGGCACCCGAGGCCATTGCGACCCCTTGGCGCGCGGGTCGAGGGCGCGCGGGCTGCGGTTCCGCGAGCGCTCCGCGGCCGTCGGCGCGGGCGGCGCGGGAGCCGCCGCTGGCGGCGCGGCCGCTGACTCCTCGGCCGCCGCAGCCGCTGCCGCCTGACGCACGGCCGCCAAATCGCGGCGCGAGACGCACGGCCGCGGCGCGCTGAGCGACAGCGACGAGCGGCCCGACTGGCCGCCCGACGAGCGGCTGTCGCGAGGATCGCGCGCCTGCGGCGAGGACACGACCTCGACGAGGGGCACCTCCTCGCGAGGCACCGCTTCCTCCTCCTCCTCCTCCTCCTCCGCCGCCTGCCCCTCCGCCGCCGCGGGTTCCTCGACCTCCGCGCCCTCCTCGCCTGGCGACGCCGCAATCTCCGGGAGCACGTCTGGCGCATCGTGCGTCTCGACCTCCGCACCCGCCTCGGACGCCTCCTCCTGCTCCTTCGCGGCGGCCTCTGTTAAAGGAGACTCCTGCTCCTCCGCGGCCTCGGGCGGCGCCTCCTCCCCGTGCTCCTCCGCGGCCTCGGGCGGCGCCTCCTCATGAGCAGCCAACGCCGCGTTTGCGAAGACGCCCGCTGCCTCGTTCGCGAAGGCGAAGAACTCCTCGGCGGCATCGCGACGGCCGCGGCTGTGGGGCGGCGCCATGGCGGCGCTGGTGCAGGCGCAGGTGTAGGCGCTGGGCCTGGTGTAGGCGCTGGCGCGCCACCTGCTGGGCCCCAAATGGCTAGTGTGATGCATGCAATGATGTGCGCAATGTGCGCACATGCCCAGCGATCGCCATCGCTCCTCCGCCTCTTGCTCTTCCACCTCATCCACCTCCCCTCCCATCACCACGTCCACTCTAGCGATCGCCATCGCTGCAATCTCCATCACCATCTCCACGACAGCTGCAATTCCACTCGCTGAAATCCCCAAGCGATCGCCATCGCTGCAATCTGCACTCGCTGCAAACTAATCTACAATCCCTGCAACCACAATCGATCATCATCGCTGCCCTGCCCAACCGACCTCAAGCGATCCCCATCGCTGTCATGCAACTCCATCCCTGCACCCCCCCGAACAACCATCCCTACACCAAGCGATCATCATCGCTGCCCCTCCTCCACCACTCCCTATTCATAGCCATAATCGGCTATCTAGTCGTGTGCGAGCACACGCATGCAGGCTGCATCGTCGCAGCACCCCTGCCGATCAAGTGTGGATGCCGAGCTTCTTCTCCTGTTTGCGCACCCACTTCTTAGCCGCAGCGATCGCCTTGTCGCTGCTGCCGCCGTGGTCGCTGAACTTGATGGCCGTCGACTGGCCTGGACCTTTCATACCCGTGCGGCACATGACCTGGTTGCGGGACCATTCCACCGCATATGCGGGTTTCGGTGGTTTCTTGACCCCCTTCGCGCCCACGTGCTTGGCCTCAGTCTTCTTCTTCTTCTTGTTCTTCCTCTTCGCATTGGCCTTGGCTTTGGGGGGCGCGGGGTGGCCGTCGCCAGCGGCCTTGCGCTTCTTCTTCATCGGCGGCGGCGGCTCCGCCTCCTCCACGCCGTCGGCGCTCTTGTTATCGGAGTCGCCCCCGTCGCTGCCCTCCGACTCGTCTTCGCTCGGCGGCGTCTTGGCCACATCTGGCAGGCATTGTTTGCCGCCGAGCTTCGCGAAGATCTTGTCCCTGGCCTCCTCCGCGCTGTGCGTCGTCGGCGGCGGCGCCGACTCCGTGTCGCCGATCGGAATCGCGCCGTCCGTGGCGGGCGCAATGGGCTGCGGAGTGCAACGCCTGCATGGCACGCCGTCTCGCGCACCTTGGCGGCCGCCACCCTGCATCGTCATCGCCCTTTCCGCGAGCTGCAACGCCATGTCGACGGACGACCGATTGCCATCGGACGTGGCCTTGAGGCGAGCCTTGGACTCTCGCATCGGGACCGCGTCGCACAGCACCATCAACATGGTGCGGTCCAGCGGGCACTCGTTTGCTGGGGCCTCCCCTCCGCCACCATACGCGCGCGAGTACCACTCGGGGTGCACCTTCGGCATGTCAGTCGGGTCCGCAGGGAGCTCGCTGACGAAGGACGGCTCGGTCGCGGCAAGCTGCTTACACAACTTCCACGGCAGGAGCTTCTTGGCGTATGTTTTCGCCCGCTTGAAATAGCCCCACTGTGCCATCGGACACATGCGCATCGTCCAATCGAAGCCGTCCACGAGGAGGGCGACGCACGCCGCCAGTTGAACCGTCGGCTCATGCAGCGTGCGCCACCCGAGGGATTTGCAAGCCTGCAGGACGACCGCAACCCGACCCATGAAGTCGTTGCGCTCGTCCAGGATCTTGTCCCACTGCCTCTTCGTGAGGTAGGCGAGGATGGACGAGAAGTCCTGCATCGGCGTCCTGCCCGACCCCGCCAGCTCCGCGCTTGCGGCCGCGTTAGCGGCCAACATTTGCGCTGAGGCCGTCGCCAACGTCGTGACGCGGCCGAGCAGCGTGGCAAGCGCCCTCTTGCCGAAAGGCATCTGGCCGATCTCCAGGACCAGCATGGCCGAGTCCTCGGCGGAGATGAAGGCCCACGGCGCCATGATGGCCATCGCCATGGCGCTCTGCGCCTCCGCGATCTCCTTGTACGCGTCGGACTTCTTCCCGATCTGGGCGAGGACCGACTTGGCGGCCTTCAGCTGCTTCACCAGGTCGGCCGCCATGGCGCCCGCGGGCGTCACTCGCGTCGCGCACGCGGGCGTCACCCGCGACTACAAAGCCGACAACGGCTATGCACAGCGATCGTTCAAAACGATTGCCGCCTACTTAAGTTAGCGATCGGTATCGCTTCTCTGCTTCTCCCTCCTCCTCCCCGCCCTCCCCCAAGCGATCGCTGTCGCTTCTCCTTCTCCTCCTCCTCCTCCTCCTCCAGGCGATCGCCATCGCAACCTCCCCCCATCCCCCCCCTCCTCACACAAGCGATCGCCGTCGCTACATCCCCCGTCCCTCCCCCTCCTCCTATGATCCCTCCTCCACCTCCTCCTCCTCCTCTCTTGTTTTTGCAACCCGTAGGGTTCGGTCCGTGCACGTCCTACTCCCCCCTCCCCCCCTCCCCCAAGCGGTCGCCATCGCTGTTCCCCCCGTCGCCCCTCCTCCTCCTTCTGGGGGAGGTGAAGCGACGGCGATGACGATGAGGAGAAGGAAAAAAGATGAGGAGAAGGAAAGCGATGTCGATCGCTGAAAGGAAGGTGGATGATGATAAAGGAGATCACTGAGCGCCGCGCGCAGCCGCTCTGCCTCGTGGAGGCGCGCGGGGCTCGCGCGCGCGGGGCGCGGAGGCGCGATGTGGGGTGCTCCGCGCGAGCTCGCGCAGGGGGCTCGCGCTTTGGCGCTCAGGCGCCAGCGCGACAACCTGCTGCAGCAGCTCGCGGAGGCGGATACCCCCTCCTCCCAGCGATCGCCATCGCTCTCCCCCGAATCCTCCTCCTCCGCTTCCTCCCCTTCCTCCTCCTCCTCCACCTCATCCTTCCCCCTCCTCCCCCTCCTCGCCCCTCCCCCCACCCCCTCCTCCCTTCACTCCACCGCCCCTCTCCCCCTCCCCCCGCCTCTGCAGACTGTCAACGCGGAGCAGACAGAGCGCGCCGTGCAGCTCTCGCTGTGGCTGGAGGAGGCGGGAAACGATGACGACGAGACGACGACGACGGCGGCGGCGACGACGACGACGAATGAGGCGGAGCGCGAGCTAGCGATCGCGATCGGCGAGAGGGACGCGGCGCTGCGGCGGGAGGCGGAGCTGAAGGCGGAGAACGCGCAGCTGAGGAAGGAGGCGCAGGGGGCGCAGCTGCTGCGGAGGGAGGAGCAGGCGCGCCTTCAGGCGGAAAATGCGCAGCTGAGGGCGGAGAAGGCGGAAAAGAAGAAGAAGAAGGAGAAAAAGGAGAAGAAGGAGAAGGGGGCGGCGGCGAAGGCGAAGGCGGCGGCGAAGGCGGCGAAGGCCAAGGCGGCGCGCGCCGCGGCGAAAGCGCCAGCGGCGGCGAAGGCGCCGCCAGCGCCGCCAGCGGCGCCAGCGGCGGCGAAGGCGCAAATGCCGCCGCCGTCGACTCCGCCTCCGCGGCGAGGCCGCGCGCCCGCAAGCGCGGAGCGCGCCGCGCGCCCGCAAGCGCGAAAACAAAAGACCAGCGATCGTAATCGCTATCCCCTCGTCCTCTTCCCCCCGCCCCGCCCTCCCCCAAGCGATCACCATCGCTTCTCTTCCTCCTTCCCGTCCTCATCCTCCTCCTTCCAAGCGATCGACATCGCTTCACCTCCCCCAGCGATCGCCGTCGCTTCTCCTCCTCCTCCTCCTCCTCCTCCTCCTCCTCCTCCTCCTCCTCCTCCTCCTCCTCCTCCAAGCGATCGCCATCGCTACCTTCCTCATCCCCCTCCTCCTCACCCAAGCGATCGCCATCGCTTCTCCTCCTCCTCCCCATCCAAGCGATCGACATCGCTACCTTCCCCATCCCCCTCCTCCCCACCCAAGCGATCGCCATCGCTACCGCGGCGAGCACCCACCAGGCGGCGCCGCGACGAGCTCCAGGTCGATGGGCAAATCCCAAATCCTGAAAAACCTCTTCAAATCCAGGTAACCTCCCCAAATCCAGAAAACCTCACCAAATCCAAAAAAAGATTTCCCCAAATCCGAAAATCGTTCCTGAAAACTACATCCACCTCCTCCTCCTCATCCCTCCTCCCCCTCCTCCTCCTCCTCCTCGTCCTCATCCTCGCCCTCCTTCTCGTCCTCTTCTGCGTGGGGGCCGCGGGCCGCGACGTCCCTGCGGCGCGGCGGGCGGGCGCGCGGCGGGAGGGGAAGAGAAGCGAAGGAGGGATGGAAGGAAGTTATAAGTTACTTATAAGTAACATATATGTTACTTATAAATATTGCATCTCAGCACGGGTAAGTAACTTAGCGGTAGTTACAAGTATCTTCCAACGTCATTAATAATCATCGAAATACTTATAACTAACCTAAGTATAGTTATGCGACAAGACAAATACTTAAGGGCACATAGAAATAGTTAGAAATACTTAGGTACTTATCCCTTGCTATAAGTATCTTATACCTAGCTGTACCTATGGTGCAACTAGCATAAGAACCACCATTCTCGAAGCAGTAGCCCTATAGCCTTATAGCCCTATAGCCGTATAGCCATATAGCCCTGTAGCCCTATAGCCTTATATCCTTATAACCCTAATAGCCTTATATCCCTATAGCCCTATAGCCCCATAGCCCATATAGCTCTATAGCCCCATAGCCTCATAGCCTTATGGCCCTATCGGTCACAGTCCTATAGCCCTATAGCCCGATAGCCCTATAGCCCTATAGCCCGATAGCCGTATAGCCCTATAGCCCAATAGCCCTATAGCCTTATAGCCCTATAGCCTTAAACAAAAATCTAATTGGGGCTTTTCTCCGGTATCATATATGTTCCCCACAGTCAGAGCTTGCCTCGGTAGGGGTCCTAGCTGATTCATTTCACAATCAGAGCTTGCTTCTGTAGGGGTCCTAGCGGATTCATATGCGTAGGTGACCTACGTCGCTGATTTCGGTGGCCGGGCCTGGGTACCCGGGGGTGCCCGGGGGCCCGGGGGCCCAGCCTTTAGCCATATAGCCCTATAGTCCAATAGCCCTACAGTATAGCCCTAATAACACTGTAGACCTATGGCCCTACAGCCATATAGCCGTATCGCCCCATAGCCCTATAGCCCTATAGCCCTGTAGCCCTATAACACTATAGCCCTACAGCCCTATAGCGTTATAGCCTCATAGCCCTATAGCCCTACAGCCCTCTTGGCCTTCATAGCCCTCGCAGTCATAAGCCTAAGGAGCAATCACAAAATGATCTCTCTTAAGATTAGGACCAGGAAAGACTCTGATTGGGTTTTTCTCCAATATCAGATGATTAGGTGAGCTTCGTCGCTGATTTCGGTGGTTGGCCCGGGTGGGTGCCCAGGGGTCCGGGGTGCCCGGGGGTGGGGTGCCCGGGGGTCCCCGGGGGTGCCTGGGTGCCCGGGTGCCCGGGTGCCCGGAGCCCTATAGCCTTGTAGCTTTATAGCCTTACAGCCCTATAGCCCGATAGCCCCATAGCCCTATAGACCTATAGCTCTAATAGCCCTATAGCCCTATGGCCCTATAGCCCTAATGCCCCAGAGACTTATAGCCTTATAGCCCTACAGCCCTCATGGCCTCCATTGCCCTGCAGCCCCCCAAACATATGATTGGGCTTTTCTTTGGTATCGTTTTTTAGTGTGCGTATACATATATATATATATAGACACATCTATGGACATACACGCATCATTCTATTTATACGCGCATGCTGACACGTTGGTGCCTCGGATCGGTATATGGTCGCATTGGGACGGATATGGCGCGCTGTCGTTTGTGAGTTCAGTGATCAGAGCTACGGCGTACGGGGGCCTTTTCTTGGGCCTATGGGGGGACTCTTGGGGGCCCTGGGGGCTATATAGATATAATATACACATAGATACATCCATCCATGCATCCATCCATCCGTCCGTCCATCCATACATACATACATGCATACATACACATTCACATACACATACACATACACAGACACCGACACAGACACAGACACAGACACAGACACTGACACACATTCGCACATACACACATACACACAGACTCACACATACACACAGACTCACATGCATATACATACTGACACATCTGCTGTGCCTCGGATCGGTATATGATCGCAGAGCTACCGGGGCCTGGCAGGAGGCCTCTCTGGAGCCTTTTGAGGGGCCTTTTTGAGGTTTCTGGGGGACCTATTGGGGCCTCTGGGGGGCCTGCTGGCGGTCTTGGGGGCTGATTTGAGGCGAAGGGCTCGAAAGCTCAATTCGAGCGCCCCCTCTTGGACCCCTCTGAGGGCCCTCTTCGGCCGTCTTGGGCGCTTCTTGGGCCGTCTTGGAGCCCTCGTAGGCCGTCTCGGGGCCCTCTTGGGAACCTCTTGTGAGCCGCTTGGGCCGTCTTGGGATGATCTGGGGGGCTTCTGGGGCCGTCTTGGACGCCGTCAAGGCCGAAAAGTGGCATATGGTAAACAGGTATGTTTCCCATACGGAATGGGACAATTGCTGCCTCGTGAAGCTCTCTTGGGAGTGCTATTGGAGGCCTCTTGGGGCGTCTTGGGGGCTTCTTGGGTCGTCTGGAGGCCATCTGGAGCGTCCTGGACCGAGCGCTCGTCGACTCTAGGCCGTCTTGGGGCATTCTCGGAGCACTCTGGGGCCGTCTTTGGCCCCCCCAGGGTCTGTGAGGGCGTGGCCTGGCTGGCACGCCGGAGATCAAGGCATATCCGTTTCTGTGTGCACAGATACCCCTATTGTATTAGTGCAGCTGTTTGTATATTTTTATATACATATACAATACATCACCATATGCGTATCTACTCACAACGATAAATACGCATCCACAAGTATATTGGCATACGTGTATCTATATGCATACGCATGTATACATATGTATATATACACATACATATATATATATATATATATATATATATGTATATATATATATGGGCGCATGCATGTATAAGTTTATATGCATGAATGTCTATGCATGTATGCGTGTCCATACACACGTATAAATGCAACTCTATACATAACCACATATAGATGTGTGCATCGGCATAAGCATATGCATGCAAGCATTCATGTATACACATACATCTACGAATACCTTCACATACACCCTTGAACATACACTATACATATACATGTACATACCCACATACGTATAGATATGCACATTCATATGTCTGTTCGAACCCACTTACGAATACACATACATGCGCATATGCAAATACACGTGCATGTGCATATACATATGCATTTACATGCATGTATATTGATGTTTTCACAACTTTAGGCCGAGTAGTGACAGATCTGGCCGCACCCGAACTGTGTTTCGTAATTCTCAAGGCTCAAGCAGGCCACGGCCTATGCACGTCTTTCGGCAGGCGGCGCGCGAGGTTCTTCCCGAACTCGCCAGAGGAGTCTCGAATAGTTTCCTTCTCTGGGCCAATCGTGGGCAGGGCTGCCCAGACTGCGCGCCAGTGGTGCACTGCGATTGCCCTCCCGTGGAGCCAACCAGCTTCAAGGAGGTGATCCACGAGCGCACGCCGGCGCTGGAGCAGGCGGGTCTGCTCGCCGGGGTCCTGGCCACAGGCGTCCTCATCGGGGTGCAGCTCGAGCGCCTCGCGCCAGGCACTGGCGCCGGGCGGTGCGCCAGGAGGAGGCCAGCTGCCCATGCAGGCTGGCTCGCAGGCGACGCAGCAGCTCGGCGAGCCCACGCCCGCGGTCGAGGCGCTCGACCTCGTGGAGTTGGCCAGGGCTCAGTCGGCAGCCGCGCGTGCCCGACGGGCTGCTCGTGCTCAGTGATGGCGGCAGCAGCCGCTGGTGGCCACCCCCTCGGCCTGGTGGAGGGGGAGTTCTTCGCCATGCGGTACAACGTCGGCGGACCTGAGCTCTGGCATGTGCGATGCTGCGTTGGCACACCGCTCACTTACCTCGTGGGCTTGGGCGTCATGACCCCAGACCTTGATGAGTATGAGGAGGAGCTGCTGCGCGGTGGGGATGTGCTCGACTGGGTCAGGCTTCCCGGCCCCGATTCGATTGTGGCGCAGGCTGGTCCGCACGCCGCCTACCACAGGTTCCGTGTGCTGCCGACGGTCGCCGAGCTCACCCTGGCGCGCGTGCAGTGCCACCGCCGAATGGGGCTGGAGCCCCCGGCGGGCGTCGTCCATCCGCTGGTGGGCGGGGCACCCGTGGCTGGCGCACCCGCTGGGGGAGATGCCGCTGCGGTTGTCCCGGCCGCCGCGGGGGGGGGGTCCAGCGGCTGGCGCTCCTGGCGTTGCTGCTGGTGGCGCTGCGGGCCCCCCGTGGGCAGGCGGCCCCGCCGGCGATGCTGCGCCAGCCGCTGCACCTCCGCCCGCCCCCCTGCTCGCGGCCGGCGCCCCTGGAGGGGTCGCCGCCGCGGGCGGGGGTGTCCCCGCCCCTGGAGGGGGCCTCGCTCGCCTCGCCGCTGCCCTCGGTCCTGCGCCCGGGCCCGCTGTCCCTCCCGCTCAGGCCGCGGGGGCAGGAGGCCCTGTCGCGCCGGCCGCCGCGGCGGCGTTTGGAGCTCCTCCATGCGCGGCCGCTGCGCCTCCCCCGGCCGTCGGTGCTCATGGCGACGCTCGGACTTGTCCTGTGCTGCACGATGCCACTGGCGGTCGTTTTCGGGAGTTTAGAGACGCAGTGTCGCTCTTCACGGAAGATGCGTGGGATGACTGGCCCGCGCGGGGTCCCAGAACTTGTTTATGGGTTTGTAGGTTCATTGTATCAAACGGGTGCACACCTCTCGGAAGCGACAATAGATGGCGAGCAGATTGCAAACTTCAGCCTGGTGATCCCCATGTCGACTCGCACGAATGTGCATGCAGGTTGCTGGAGACCCTGGCGTGCTATGACCAGCTTAACCTGCCAAATGTTGCTTCGGCCGAATTGGCCGCCCGTGAGCTCCAGGTGGCCGAGGGGCGCCACCGGGGCAAGATCGCGGGGGGAAGTGATGATCGCTTCGACACCCACCTCGCGCGAGGCACGGACCTTGTGCGCGGTAACCTTTGTATCATGCCCGCTTTCACTGAGTGGATCGCCAGTGAGCTTTCGAAGGAATACTCCGCGATGAAGGAGCGCCGGAAGGCACGCGAGGAGCGTGTCCTGGCGCGCCCAAAGAAGGGCCCCGAGGGCAACAGAGAGCAGGAGCAGGGGCGATGCTTCCCCGGCCAGCGGCGTCTCCGGGCGGCCAGCCTGCACGAGCTGAAATCAACTGCTCAGAGGCGTCTGCCCAGTGTCCTGCTCGGCATCGGGACATCTTTCCGCTCCCTGCTCCTGGCGCTGGCTCTAACGCCCGCGTTAAGGCACCTCTCTCACGTGGCACGGCCCGGCGTCTGGCGCGAAGTTCTCACGCTCTGGCCTGGGCTCGCGACGGCGCGGCTTGCCTCAACCAGTTTTTCGGTTTCAGTTCTCCGCCCTCTTCGGTGCGGAATGCTAGTCAGGAGTGCGCCCTTCGGAACATCGAGTCGGCTTGCCTGGGCGCCCCCGCCCCTCCTGGCGACCCCTCGTTTCCCCTGGGGGCCCTCGACGCGATCTTCGCTGGGTCAGGTCTCTATTCGGATGTGTCCTCTACCCAACGGCCGTGCGCCAAGGGCAGCGTCTCTTGGCCCGCCAGGGGCAATGCTCCGTCGGCGCTCGCCGACTGTCTCGCGCGGGCCGACTCGGATTGGCTCGGCCGCTGGCGCGATCATGCGCTAAGATCGCCTGCTGCTGCGGAATCTCTGCGCGCGGAGCTGTGTCCGAATGGGCCCTACACTGATCCAGTTCTGAAGCATCACCCGCTTGCCTATGGCGATTTTGTAGCAGAGCTTAGGCAGCGCGGGATGGTGAAGTATCGCAGAGCCGCAGGACGTTCTGCCACCGTGGGCGTGTTTTTTGTCGCCAAAAAGTTTGACGACCTCAGACTCATCTTTGACGCGAGAGCCGCCAATACCAGTTTTGTGGACCCTCCTCGGACAGGTCTTCCGATGCCGGGAGCCTTCTCGGGGTTCGAGAACGTAGGGGGGGAGACATTCTTTGCAGCTGGCGACATCGAGTGTGCTTTTTATATGCTTGCGATCCCCGACGGGCTGGACGAGATTTTCAGGCTGCCCGCGATCGCTGCTAGGCATTTTGGTATAGTGGAACTCGACGAGACCCCTGTGGCCCCGGATGAAATGATTGCCCCGTGCGTCTGCGTCCTTCCGATGGGATGGTCCTGGGCCCTGCGCATCTGTCAGAGCGTTCTTCGTCGCGCACTGGTGAAGGAGGGTGTCGATGCCACGAACGCGATCGAGGACGGACTGCCGGCTGTGTCCCTCCAGCGCGCGTCGGACACGGCGGGCGCTGGGTACGTCGATAATTTCATGATTCTTGGCTCGGATCGAGCCGCAGTTCAGGACGGCCTGGACAGAGCATGCCGCCGACTGGAGTCGCTGGGGCTTTAAGTGCATGAGTTGAGCCCTGCCAGCCGTGATGCGTCGTTCGTCGGTCTCGAGGTCACCAACGGATCTACGGTGCCGGTGAAGGCCAAAAACCTGTGGCGTCTTCGGTGCGGTATCGAGGCCGTGCTCAGGCGCGGGGTGTGCAGCGGCTCGGCTCTGCAGGTAATCATGGGGCACATCACCTGGATTGCGCTTCTTCGGAGAGAGGTGCTGGCATTTTTCAGCGCTTCTTATAAGTAGATGCAGTCTGTGGGCGAGACCCCGCAGAAGCTGCGGCCGAGTGTTCGGCAAGGACTGTGGACGTTTCGGTCGATCCCCCCCCTTCTGTTCACCAAGATCGATATCCCTTGGCATAATGTTATTGCCTCTTCCGACGCCTCCCTCTTCGGCGTCGGTGTGTGCACTCGTGTAGTGGCGCCGGAGCGTGCTGGCATCGCTGGTCGGTACGCAGGGCGCTGGAGGTATCACGTGGCGGGCGCTGAGCGAGCTCGGGGGGGGGGGGGGGGGAAACGCCCTCAACCTTCCCTCCGACGACTGCGGGCAGCCCGCTGGCTGCTCGGTTCCTGCATGTCCTGATCGGGTGCCACCAGCCCTTGGAGACCCCGTGGGCAGCACTGATAACGCCGACGAGTTCATTGATGTTCAGAAGTTTCTGGAGGTTTCGGAGGCCAGGTTCGAGGGGGTGCCGAGGGGCATCCTTGAGGGCCCGTGGGTCACCGTGTTCGCCTCGAAGGTCTTCGGGTCCGCCAACTTGGAGCTTGAAGGTGAGGCCCTCATGGTGGCCGCCAAGCACATCCTGAGGTCCTCGGAGGCGTTCAATCGGAGGGCGGTCCTGCTGGCAGACAACTCGTCGTTGGCGCTAGCGGCCTGCAAGGGCCGAGGCGCCTCTCATCACCTTCTTCGGCCTCTTCGCAAGCTGGCCTGCCTATCGTTGGTGTCTGGGTCCCGGTTCCACATCAGATGGATCCCTCGGAGCTCAACCCTTCGGATGCCCCCTCTCGGGGCAGGCCGGGCTGGTTCGTGGGGCCACATCGCCGAGAGCGTCCGCAGCGTAGCCTTCTTGGCTCCAGCACTCCGGCGGCTGACGCCTTTTCACCGCTTCCACCCTTCCTTGTGCTCTCGGAGCCGGACACCTCCGGTGGCGCTCACGACTCTCGGCATGGCGCCGAAGGCCGCTCGCGGGAGGCGGGCGCGGACGAAGGCTCGACCAACGTCGCGGGCCGGCCTGCTCAAGGGGCAGCGGGCGCCGTCAGCGACCCGCCAGGCGAAGCAGCGACAGGCGTGCGGCAACCTCAGCCTGCTGGAGCGCCTGGCCGTCAAGCCGGGCACCGAGCGCTTGTACCTGGGCGCAGCCGCCGCATTCGCCAGCTTCTGCCAGAGCATCGGGGCGGACTGGAGCTCGCCGCAGGAGCTGGACACCCTCCTGGTCTCGCATTTCAGCGCGGAGTTCCTGGAGGGGTCGAGCGTCGAGGAGGCCTCGAAGCTGCTGGCGAGCCTGTCGCACTTCCTCCCGGAGCTCGACAAGGCGACGGCCGAGAAGCTCCCCAGAGCGACCCGCTGTCTGGTGGCATGGCGGCGGAGGGTGCCTCCGCGCATGAGGCCCCCGCTCTCTCGAGCGGCAGCCCTTGCCCTGGCGGGCTGCCTTCGCCACTTGGGCCACCCGCGTATGTGCATCTGGGTGGCGCTCGCGTTCATCGCCTACCTGCGGCCGCTCGAGACGTTCCAGCTGCGCGGCTCGCACTTGGTGGCGCCGAAGATCGCGGCTGGCCGCCAGTGCAGCTCGCGGGGACTGCCCCTCCACGACGCGTCGGTCGGAGACCCGAGCAAGACGGGCATGTTCGACGCAGCTGTCCTGCTCGACCGCTGCGACTGGCTGTTGCCCTCGCTGGAGGCCCTCAAGGCCCAGTCGCATCCCGGCGGCAGCCTCTGGGACATCTCACCCGCGGAGCTGCAGCGCCTCTTCGCGTCGCTGGTGCAGATCCTCGGCCTCGACCCGCTGTCGCCTCACCTCTACTCGCTGAGGCGCGGCGGCGCGAGCGACGACCTCGTGACCGGCTCCAGATGCCAAGAGGAGGTCAAGGTCCGAGGCCAGTGGGCCACCCTCGCCAGTCTCAAGAGGTACGGCAAGACCACGCGCCTCCTCCTGGAGATGGCGAAGGTGCCCGAGGACGTATTTGTGCTGGGACGCGCCGTGGAGGCGAACTTCAGCAACGTGATGTCCGAGGGCTTCGGCTTCGCGGGCCCGCTGTCGGCGGTGCGGCTGCCCTCGCGCCTCGCCGCTGCTTTGGGCCCAGGCAGCGCCATCCGCCGCGGCCTGCCAACGATTTCTCCGAGGGCGAAGTCCGCAGGTATCTACGGCGCTGCTTCAGGGCCAGCGCTATTCCGCAAGTCCGTTCCATGAAGAGGCTGGTCTTCTTGGAGTTATTCTCAGGTGCTGGCAGAGTTGGAGACGCTTTGCGCGCTCAGGGATATCGCTCTCTCTCTCTCTCTCTCTCTCTCTCTCTCTCTCTCTCTCTCTCTCTCTCTCTCTCTTCTCTCTCTCTCTCTCTCTCTCTCTCTCTCTCTCTCTCTCTCTCTCTCTCTCTCTCTCTCTCTCTCTCTCTCTCTCTCTCTCTCTCTCTCTCTCTCTCTCTCTCTCTCTCTCTCTCTCTTTCGATATTGTGCGCAATGCGAGAGAAGACCACCTTGAGCCGTCCTTTCAAAAAGTCATCAAAGGCTGGCTCTCCTCAGGCTGTGTTGCAGCGCTTTGGCTCGGCACACCTTGCACGTCTTGGGCCCGTGCCTTGGGAAGGCCCATTCGTAGCAGCGACATGCCCTGCGGGGTGCCAGACCTCTCGGAGGCAGAAAAGGAGCGCATCAGGATTGGCAATGCCTCGTTCATGTTCAGTGTCGTATTGATCAAGATGTGTATTTCCCTCTATCATGTGGTAGGCCCCGCAGATGAAGGCTCTCATGCTTAGCTCTGTTTTCTTTGACGCCTGCTCAGACTTCTGTCAGTATGGTGCGCCCTGGAAAAAAGGCGTCACGAGTCGGCGTGTGGCACGGAGGCAGCCCGGTCGACCTGTGTCTCACGTGCCGTGGGAAGCATGGTGTTTGTAGCCGTGCAAAAAAGCGTCGCATTGAGCTCTCTGGAAATGCGCCCGGAGGGCGCAAGTGGACTAGCATCGCGACTCCGTACCCTCCCGCTTTCGCCTCTACCGCCGCTGCCTGCGTGATCAGTGCTGCTGAGAACTTGAAAAGTCACCGGTTGCATAGTCTTTATAGTGGCCTGTGATGCGGCCCTAGCGGGCCATATTACTAATGTGGGATCGGGTGCGGTCTCGAGCTCGAGGCTCGATCGAATATTCTTTTCGTTTCTCTCTTGCAGTCTGGGTTTCGCTCAGCGGCGGCACGCGTCGTTTTGCCTTCGCGCTCTCACCACGATAAATATGCATCGTCCTGGTCAGTGTAGTAAATGCCCGGGCTGGATGTTTCACAACTTTAAGCCGAGTTGTGACAGATCTGGCCGCGCCCAAACTGTGTTCCGTAATTTTCAAGGCTCCTGCCCACCCTACCTTGCTTGAGGCAAGACCCCACTTTCGAATGGGGTGCGGTCTCGAGCTCGAGGCTCGATCGAATATTCTTTTCGCTTCTCTCTTGCAGTCTGGGTTTCGCTCAGCGGCGGCACACATCGTGTTGCCGTCGCGGTCTCACCACGATAAATATGCATCGTCCTGGTCAGTGTAGTAAACGCCCGGGCTATATATATTTATATACATACATATGTATATATATATGCACAATCACGCACAGTCACATATACATATAGACTCACATACAACTATGCATTTGTATTTACATATGCGTACACATGCACGTCTTAATGTACCAACTGTGCAAGCATGTACATACATATTCGCGTATACATATACAGTTGTACTTACGTGTACATACGACGTACAGCTGCACATACATATGCGTATACATACGCATGGAGTGTGCACATACATGTACATATGCTTGTGCACATACATATACATTTACATGTACACGAGCATGTACGATGACATATGATATTCGTATACACCTACACATTCCTATACACAGGCATATCCACTTATATATATATACACGTATACATCTACAAAACTAGGCAGTTCCATATATCAATACACATATACATACATATACATATCATAAACATATGTACGCATCCATATACACATGAACATACATATACACATACACATACACATACGTATACATACGAGCGTACATTTACATACGTATGTATACATGTACAACGACACACACACACCAGAACCCCCCTTGTACATAGGTGGTGGCCCCCTCCCGGGACGCCCCTCCAGCGGTCCCCGCGCGTTCCAGTCCGCCCAAGAAGGCTCCAACAGAGCCGAGAGAACTCCAGGATCGCTTCAAGACCGTCAAAGATCGCTTCCAGAAGGGCCGAGAGGCCCTCAAGCCGCCCCAAGAGGCCGCCAAGAGGCCCCCCAAGAGCGCCCCGGGAAACCGAAATGGCCCCTATTCCCTTTTAATATGTACGTTTTTAGGATATCAGCTCCCTTAGACATCGGAGCGGTCAAAAAGCCCCAAGAGGCGCCCAAGGACGCCCCAGTACGGCTGAGACAGCCCCAAGACGGCCCAGGAGGGCCTCCCGGGACGCTCCTCTGGCGGCGGCCCCCGGGCCTCCCAGTCCGCCCAAGATGGCCCAAGAGACGTCCCGGTCGCCCCGAGAGGGCCCCAGGAGCGTTCCGATACGACCCAAGATGGCTTCCAGAAGGGCCACGCGGCCCTCAAGACGCCCCAAGAAGGCTCCAAGAGGCCCTCCAAGAGAGCCCCGG